CAATCTGTCTGACACCTTATACCATTTTTTAGTGGGGTATGACTTGTAGTATTTGATCTCTTTTCTAATATGTCTGACACCTTATACCAGTTTTAAGTGGGGTATGAAATGTAGTATTTGATCCCTTTTCCAATCTGTCTGACACCTTATACCAGTTTTTAGTGGGGTATGACTTGTAGTATTTGATCCCTTATCCAATCTGTCTGACACCTTATACCAGTTTTTAGTAGGGTATGACTTGTAATATTTGATCTCTTTTCCAATCTGTCTGACACCTTATACCAGTTTTTAGTAGGGTATGACTTGTAATATTTGATCCCTTATCCAATCTGTCTGACACCTTATACCAGTTTTTAGTAGGGTATGACTTGTAATATTTGATCTCTTTTCCAATCTGTCTGACACCTTATTCCAGTTTTTAGTGGGGTATGACTTGTAGTATTTGATCTCTTTTCTAACATGTCTGACACCTTATACCAGTTTTAAGTGGGGTATGAAATGTAGTATTTGATCCCTTTTCCAATCTGTCTGACACCTTATACCAGTTTTTAGTGGGGTATGACTTGTAGTATTTGATCCCTTATCCAATCTGTCTGACACCTTATACCAGTTTTTAGTAGGGTATGACTTGTAATATTTGATCTCTTTTCCAATCTGTCTGACACCTTATACCAGTTTTTAGTAGGGTATGACTTGTAATATTTGATCCCTTATCCAATCTGTCTGACACCTTATACCAGTTTTTAGTAGGGTATGACTTGTAATATTTGATCTCTTTTCCAATCTGTCTGACACCTTATACCAGTTTTTAGTAGGGTATGACTTGTAGTATTTGATCTCTTTTCCAATATGTCTGACACCTTATACCATTTTTATACGACCGCAAAAAAATTTTTGTGGTCGTATATTGGTATGACGTTGGCGTCGTCGTCGTCCGGCGTCGTCGTCGTCGTCGTCGTCGTCCGGCGTCGTCCGAAGACACATTGGTTTTCGCACTCTAACTTTAGTTTAAGTGAATGGATCTTTATGAAATTTTACCACAAGGTTCAATACCACAAAAGGAAGGTTGGGATTGATTTTGGGGGTTATGGTAATAACAGTAAAGGAATTAGGGGCCAAAAAGGGGCCAAAAATAAGCATTTTTGTAACTTCCAGACATAACTTGTGTGTTAGTGTATGGATCTCTCTGACATTGTACCACAAGGTTCCATATCACTAAAGGAATGCTGGGATTGATTTTGGGGGTAATTGCCTCCAAATTTTAGGAATTAGGGGCCAAAAAAGGGGCAAAAAACAAGCATTTTTCTAGTTTCATGACAATAACTTGTGTGTAAGTGTATGGATCTTTCTGAAATTGTACTACAAGGTTCCATATCACAAAGGGAAAGCTGGGTTTGAGTTTGGGGGTAATTGCCCTAAACGTTTAGGAATTTGGGGCCAAAAAGGGGCCAAAAAACAATTTTTTTTCTAGTTTCCAGACAATAACTTGTGTTCAAGTGTATGGATCTCTCTGAAATTGTACTGCAAGGTACCATACCACAAAGGGAAGGCTGGGATTGAGTTTGGGGGTGATGAATCATAATGGGGGTTCAAAAAATTTTGGGGGGGGGGATTTATTTTTTTTTCCTTTTTTTTCTTTTTTTCCTTTTTTGTTTCTTTTAAAATTTTCCATTTTAAGTTGGTTATTTCTGATTTATATTTAAAATCAAATAATAATGATATGGTAGGAGATACACACCAAACAGGATGTGTAAATTATTATATAATAAGTATTGTGCAATAGCAAGAAATTTTCAATTGCACAGTATTGCACAATAGCAAGAAATCTTCAATTGCACAGTATTGCGCAATAGCAAGAAATCTTCAATTGCACAGTATTGCGCAATAGCAAGAAATATCCAATAGCACAATATTGCGCAATAGCAAGAAATTGTCAATTGTACAGTATTGCGCAATAGCAAGAAATATTTAATAGCACAGGATTGTGCAAAAGAAGATACTTCCTATAAATTGCTTATTTCTTGACCAATTTCAATGGGGTTTTATTCTTGATTTCATGGGGTTCTTTAATATGCTGAATCTAACCGTGTATTTAGTTTTTGGATTTTGGGCCCCGTTTTTAAATTGGTCCACATTGAGGTCCAAAGGGTCCAAAATTAAACTTTGTTTGATTTCATCAAAAATTGAATTATTGGGGTTCTTTGATATGCCGAATCTAACTGTGTATTTAGATTCTTAAATTTTGGTTCCGTTTTCAAATTGGTCTACATTAAGGTCCAAAGGGTCCAAAATTAAACTTAGTTTGATTTTAACAAAAATTGAATTCTTAGGGTTCTTTGATATGCTGAATCTAAACATGTATTTAGATTTTTGATTATGGGCCCAGTTTTCAAGTTGGTCCAAATCGGGGTCCAAAATTAAACTTTGTTTGATTTCAACAAAAATTGAATATATGGGGTTCTTTGATATGCTGAATCTAACCATGTATTTAGATTTTTGATTTTTGGGCCCCGTTATCAACTTTGTCCACATTGGGGTCAAAAGGGTCCAAAATTAAACTTTGTTTGATTTCATCAAAAATTGAATTATTGGGGTTCTTTGATATGCCGATTCTAACCGTGTATTTAGATTCTTAATTTTTGGTTCCGTTTTCAAATTGGTCTACATTAAGGTCCAAAGGGTCCAAAATTAAACTTAGTTTGATTTTAACAAAAATTGAATTCTTAGGGTTCTTTGATATGCTGAATCTAAACATGTATTTAGATTTTTGATTATGGGCCCAGTTTTCAAGTTGGTCCAAATCGGGGTCCAAAATTAAACTTTGTTTGATTTCAACAAAAATTGAATATATGGGGTTCTTTGATATGCTGAATCTAACCATGTATTTAGATTTTTGATTTTTGGGCCCCGTTATCAACTTTGTCCACATTGAGGTCAAAAGGGTCCAAAATTAAACTTTTGTTTGATTTCATCAAAAATTGAATTCTTGGGGTTCTTTGATATGCTGAATCTAACCAAGTATTTAGATTTTGGATATTGGACCATAATAGGTGAATGTCCAATTTAAAATTTTTAAGTTCTTAGACCACATTCAATCTGTGTTAGAAACCTATGCTGTGTCAAATATTTAATCACAATCCAAATCCAAAGCTGTATCAAGCTTGAATGTTGTGTCCATACTTCCCCCAACTGTTCAGGGTTCGACCTCTGCAGTCGTATCAAGCTGCGCCCTGCGGAGCATTTTATTTAGTGGGGTATGACTTGTAGTATTTGATCTCTTTTCTAATATGTCTGACACCTTATACCAGTTTTAAGTGGGGTATGAAATGTAGTATTTGATCCCTTTTCCAATCTGTCTGACACCTTATACCAGTTTTTAGTGGGTATGACTTGTAGTATTTGATCTCTTTTCTAATCTGTCTGACACCTTATACCAGTTTTTGGTTGGGTTAATTTTGATCAGTCTTTAGTTTTCTATGAAGTGTTTAGTGGATGTGCTTGTCTTTTCTTTAGTTTTCTATGAAGTGTTTAGTGAATGTGCTTGTCTTTTCTTTAGTTTTCTATGAAGTGTTTAGTGAATGTGCTTGTCTTTTCTTTAGTTTTCTATGAAGTGTTTAGTGAATGTGCTTGTCTTTTCTTTAGTTTTCTATGAAGTGTTTAGTGAATGTGCTTGTCTTTTCTTTAGTTTTCTATGAAGTGTTTAGTTGATGTGCTTGTCTTTTCTTTAGTTTTCTATGAAGTGTTTAGTGAATGTGCTTGTCTTTTCTTTAGTTTTCTATGAAGTGTTTAGTGAATGTGCTTGTCTTTTCTATAGTTTTCTATGAAGTGTTTAGTTGATGTGCTTGTCTTTTTGTCCTGTTTTCTATGAAGTGTTTAGTGAATGTGCTTGTCTTTTCTTTAGTTTTCTATGAAGTGTTTAGTGAATGTGCTTGTCTTTTCTTTAGTTTTCTATGAAGTGTTTAGTGAATGTGCTTGTCTTTTCTTTAGTTTTCTATGAAGTGTTTAGTGAATGTGCTTGTCTTTTTGTCCTGTTTTCTATGAAGTGTTTAGTGAATGTGCTTGTCTTTTCTTTAGTTTTCTATGAAGTGTTTAGTGAATGTGCTTGTCTTTTCTTTAGTTTTCTATGAAGTGTTTAGTTGATGTGCTTGTCTTTTTGTCCTGTTTTCTATGAAGTGTTTAGTGAATGTGCTTGTCTTTTCTTTAGTTTTCTATGAAGTGTTTAGTGAATGTGCTTGTCTTTTCTTTAGTTTTCTATGAAGTGTTTAGTTGATGTGCTTGTCTTTTTGTCCTGTTTTGATTTTTGTCTTGACTTTATGTCAGTTTTCCTTCAATTTATGAGTTTTGAATGTTCCTTCGGTACATATATCTCCCGTCTCTTTTTTTTCTGCCCCCGCTGTGGTGGAGGGGGCATTAAGTGTTACCCTTGTCAGTCTGTAAGTCCCAAAATTAGTTTCTGTTCTGTTACTTTAGTTTGCCTCAACCAAATGTTGTGAAACTTATTTACAATGCTTATTACCACAAAACGCAAATCAAGTTCAAATTTGGGTGGCATCACTTATACTGTTCATGAGTTATGGTCCTTTATAACATTATATCTTTTGCAAGTGGGGGCATCATCTGTGTCCCATGGACACATACTCCATTTATTCTGCTTTCATGTTTCCTGCTCTGAAACATTGAATACCAAGTAGGGGTGTGAACTGTAAACAGCAAAAATGATTTACAACTTCCAAATAATACTTAAAAACTTGTTTATGAAAGAGATCTGTACCACTGTACCGAATCTGATACTCAGCAGGTTAAGTGTTTATGGCAGCAGTATGAAAACATAGTAATTGTTACTGCCTTTTTTTAGCCTGATAAAATAGAATGAAATAATAATACATTTTCTTATGCTGGTTAATTCTACTTTTAAAGTTGCAGAAATATCATGTATTCATGCATAAATATTTACCCTCATGCATTTATTATGTTTATAACTACATTGTACATATTTTCAGAAGTCTTTCAGAAGAAGAAGGGGACATTTTCCAAGATTTGCTTACAACAAATGACATTGAACTTTCTGTAGCAACAGAACAAGTATATGTTTTGACATCAGCTGATTTAGTACACAACTTTGGCCAAGATAATATCACATCCATTTGTGTCTATGGTAACAATTTGTTGACAGTTTGTCATCATCAAGGCTATAATGAACTGAATCTACTTTCTATTAATTTACATTCTGGTCAATATATATTAGCCTTAAGGAGAAAATTTGTGTTAAACTTTCCAAACACCATCAGCAATGTGCCACAGGCTTCTAAAATATTTTATATGGTTGCTGAATCAGAAATTCTGCATGTTAAGTCAAGTGATTGTATAAGGATTTCTAGTTACCTGTTTAAATCATTGCTTGGTACTGAGATTGCATTAATGAATTCAGCAATTATTCTATTTTGTCCTCCATTTGGATCGGTTTTTTATGCACCTATCAAATCAATAGATGATCAAATGGCTGAAACATGTTTCCATAAAATGACTTTATTTTGCCACACAAGTAAACAAGTTCTTGGAATTGACAAGATATGTTTTCCCACAAGATGGGAAGAAGAGAATAGAGATGAAGAAAATACAGAGAAAGAAACTGAAAATCAGGATGGTTTGTTTCTGGTAACAAATGATGGAAAATGTATTCTGATCTCCTCATGGAGGAACAATGGAGCACAGTTTGCACCTATTACTATACCAGGACCTGTAGAATGTTTTAGTATTTATACAAACACACTGTACCATTCCAACAGCAGAGATCTGATTGAAAGTGAAATTTGTGCAGAATGTGATAATAAAACTGGAGCAGTAACTGCATGTATTGTAAATCAACAGAGTTTAGGAATTTTTAATGTACAGCAAGTGATAACAGTGCAAGATCAGTCTTTAGTGGAAGGTAAAAAACCAATACATTTATCATTTTTGTCAATATCTTTGATGTCAAGGATCAGTAGACATACAGTAACGCATCAGTAGACATACAGTTACACATCAGTAGATATACAGTAACACATCAGTAGACATACAGTAACACATCAGTAGATATACAGTTACACATCAGTAAACATACAGTAACACATCAGTAGACTTACAGTAACACATCAGTAAACATACAGTAACACATCAGTAGACATACAGTAACATATCAGTAGACATACAGTAACACATCAGTAGATATACAGTTACACATCAGTAGACATACAGTAACACATCAGTAGACTTACAGTAACACATCAGTAGACATACAGTAACATATCAGTAGATATACAATAACACATCAGTAGACATACAATAACACATCAGTTGATGTATAGTAACACATCAGTAGACATACAGTAATACATCAGTAGACATACAGTTACACATCAGTAGACATACAGTTACACATCAGTAGACATACAATAATACATCAGTAGACATACAGTAACACATCAGTAGACATACAGTAACTCATCAGTAGACATACAGTAACACAATAGACATGCAGTAACACATCAGTAGACATACAGTAACACACCAGTAAACATACAGTAACACATCAGTAGACATACAGTATCACATCAGTAGACATACAGTAACACATCAGTAGACATACAGTAACAACATCAGTAGACATACAGTAAAACATCAGTAGATATACAGTTACACATCAGTAGACATACAGTAACACATCAGTAGACTTACAGTAACACATCAGTAGACATACAGTAACACATCAGTAGACATACAGTAACATATCAGTAGATATACAGTAATACATCAGTAGACATACAATAACACATCACTTGATGTATAGTAATACATCAGTAGACATACAGTAATACATCAGTAGACATACAGTTACACATCAGTAGACATACAGTTACACATCAGTAGACATACAATAATACATCAGTAGACATACAGTAACACATCAGTAGACATACAGTAACACATCAGTAGACTTACAGTAACACATCAGTAGACATACAGTAACACATCAGTAGACATACAGTAACATATCAGTAGACATACAGTAACACATCAGTAGATATACAGTTACACATCAGTAGACATACAGTAACACATCAGTAGACTTACAGTAACACATCAGTAGACATACAGTAACATATCAGTAGATATACAGTAACACATCAGTAGACATACAATAACACATCAGTTGATGTATAGTAATACATCAGTAGACATACAGTAATACATCAGTAGACATACAGTTACACATCAGTAGACATACAGTTACACATCAGTAGACATACAATAATACATCAGTAGACATACAGTAACACATCAGTAGACATACAGTAACTCATCAGTAGACATACAGTAACACATCAGTAGACATACAGTAACACAATAGACATGCAGTAACACATCAGTAGACATACAGTAACACACCAGTAGACATACAGTAAAACATCAGTAGACATACAGTATCACATCAGTAGACATACAGTAACACATCAGTAGACATACAGTAACAACATCAGTAGACATACAGTAACACATCAGTAGACATACAGTTACACATCAGTAGACATACAGTAACATATCAGTAGACATACAGTAACACATCAGTAGACATACAGTAACATATCAGTATATATACAGTAACACATCAGTAGATATACCATAACACATCAGTAGACATACAGTTACACATCAGTAGATATACGGTTATCATCAGTAAATGTATAGTTATACATCAGTATTATCTGTATTTGTTAATGTGTCTTTCACAGGAATAAATAGGAAATGCCCATCTGACTTGTCAGTTTTCTTGTTACCTATATAAATCAAAGGAAATGTTGGACAGCAGACAAACATCTCTAAAATATATTTATACAGTAGCTCATAAGTTCTAAACCAGTTATAGTCTTACAAAGTTTTGAAATAATTTCAAGGAGACTATCAAACTGATCAATGAACTGGTTTCAGAACTTTACTCTCCAAATGACAAGAAACATTCAGATTTAACAAAAGATAAATAATGATGAAGTTCCTGACTTGGAACACACCAACATGTGATGGGGGTTTCACTATTTTGTTTTTTTTTTTAACTATGTACAAATATATATAAACTGATTTGTATAATTTTGTGTTACAGGTACTCCCTGTCTTTTGTTCTACCAAACAAAATCTGGTCAACATTGTGTTGTTAGTCCAGGAAAGATTGAGAAGGATGCACAACATTCAGGGGGAGACAACCCTGGACAACAGATCAAAGATGTTTTATTAAATCTAGAAAAATGTCATACAGAAAAAGAAAAATTGACTGCTTTAGAAATAGCTCATCTCACTTTTATCAGCCAACTTAGTATTGCTAACTTTTTGATATGTAGGGAAAGAAATGATCAACTTTTTAAACACAAATTTTTTCTGCGATATTTACCACATTCGTTTGAGTTTGAATTGAACTATGAATTAACTAATTGTAGCAAAGTTTACATTTCATCAGATTGGAAGCTTCTTATGTCAGTTAAGCATATAAAATCAAGTTTAACAAAGTCAATCTTGTTTAATCTGCACAAAGGATTAAAACTAAATGAATGCATTGCAATCTCAATGGTTTTACCTGATCAGAATGTTTATCTCCCTTATGAGGTGCAAATTCAGCTTCAGTTGGAAATTCCAAAGGACATCATTTTCAATACAGACTGCCCTGAAATTTTACCAGTGTTTTTAACTTCAAAAATTTTAGACATCATTTATTTTATTGGGGATGAAAAACACCAGAAAAAGTTTATGAATGAAACTGTATTAGACCATAAAAATGTAGTAAGAGACTTAGCTTCATGTCGACCAATATCAAAGAGTCTCTTTAATGCTGAAGAAAGTAAAGAACTTGTTCAGGATCCAGTCACACTACTCGTACATAAATCGCAAGATATACTGAACTTCAGAGATATCAGAAGATTTGGAAAAGGTAATAACTTATTCGTCACCAATACTTTTATAGGTATTTATAGGAAATATTTTTAAATTTCTACAGTACAAGGAGAAAGACAGGCAACTCCTCCGCCAAAAGAAAAAAGACTTAAATACAAAATAATTAACAGAAAACTTCAGACTGAGCAACAGTAACCTGCCAAAATAAAAGGGGAATTCAGGTGCTCTGGAGGGGTAAACAGTTTCTGCATCACTAGACAAACCCTTGGTGTTGTTTATAATAACAAGAAGAATCTGATGGCAAGCAATACTTGGTTGCATGTCACAGACAAGGAAATTAGAACAGGGTTATGGTAAATGTTGGAATCATTTTATAAGGGGAACCCACTGACTGACCTGGGGGGGGGGGGGGGGGGGGCCTTCTGTCATGTCAGTGATTCCCTATATAATCAACCAAATTTTTCTCACAAAGGGGGGGAGCAGGCTGCCCCCCTGGATCCGCCTATGGGAATGATGAAACTTAAAAATGGAAAGTTATATTTATTCTTTGTTTTAAAAAGTTGGTGATAATAAATTCTTAAGATATAAATACACAGAACTTTGGAGTCTTGACAAGTTCTGGATTCAATAGTCTGAGATAATCCTAGAAAAAACATCAACACCAAATTCCCAAATGAACTTATCCTATAGGTAGATTCAAACATTCTCAATAAATCTTTATATTTGTAATGAAATTAAGTACAGGTTTTGACCAATTTTTGCTACAGTATGTTTTTGTGTAGTGTAATTTTTCTCAGTTGTTTGATATATGCACATTTGCAGAGATGTCTCAGATTAAGAGATATTGAGATATCTTCTCCAGGACTGTAGCCAGATCTCTGATATCAATGTAATATGATGATATATATGTTGTAGATGAACCTGTTATATTGAGATATCTTCTCAAGGACAATAGCCAGATCTCTGATATCAATGTTATATGATGATATATGTTGTAGATGAACCTGCTATTTTGAGATATCTTACCCAGGACAGTAGCCAGATCTCTGATATCAATATAATATTATAATATATGTTTTAGATGAACCTGCCATATTGAAATATCTTCTCCAGGACAGTAGCCAGATCTTTGATATCAGTGTTAAAGCTATTACATTATCTGTCTGTGGTGGTAGTAAAGTGCATATTGATGTCAGTATAGAGAACCAAATAGTTATCTCCCTTCAGTCCACAGACCTACCATTATGTACAGCCATCAGACTGGCCATATTAGACAGGTTACAGGTAATTTTACGGAGACCTAGTTAAATATTTTGGTAATAGATTTTGTTAAGATCTAGAAAAGATTGAAAATTCTTAAAGAAGGTCCACTAAACTGATCTAAACACAGTCGAAAGTATGAGACTATTGTGATCTCCCTTGCTATATAGAAGGTTGCATACATCTCCCTTAATTTACTTCTAGTTTTGTCGATAAATTTATAATCCTTTTAATGAATGAAAGCTTTAAGGAGACATGGGGTATATGTCAATGAAACAGCATCCAAACAACAAAAACAAAAAATACAATTAGAGGGCAACATACAGTTATCAACAATAAATAGTAATCTATACTTTATGTCAAGCTCTGTTCTAATCTATAAACCTTGTGAATAAAATTCTATAGAAACCTATTAACACTCAATTCTCCAAATATATGTAACAATAAATATTAAGGACATACGCACACCTCTGAGGAGCCAAAAATTTCTAGAATTAATTTTTTTTCTTAACCTGATTTTTTAGGTTGTTTTGACTGTAAGAAAGTAATTGATGAAGAAAAAATCACATGGTGGTGCACTTCTTTTTTTGCTACGGCCATTTGAAAGTACCCCATTTTTAATGATTTTCCCATTTTTCATCAATTTTTATCCATTTTTGGGCTTTTATCATGAAAAAAATTACATTCATACTTTGACTAAAGATGAAGTGGACCAATCTGAAAAACTTTAACTTAAAAAAATTAAAGGTTTTTATACGACCGCAAAAAAATTTTGCAGTGGTATATTGGTATGACGTTGGTGTCGTCGTCTTCGTCGTCGTTTAATTAATGAATGAAAGCTTTAAGGAGACATGGGGTATATGTCAATGAAACAGCATCCAAACAACAAAAACAAAAAATACAATTAGAGGGCAACATACAGTTATCAACAATAAATAGTAATCTATACTTTATGTCAAGCTCTGTTCTAATCTATAAACCTTGTGAATAAAATTCTATAGAAACCTATTAACACTCAATTCTCCAAACATATGTAACAATAAATATTAAGGACATACGCACACCTCTGAGGAGCCAAAAATTTCTAGAATTAATTTTTTTTCTTAACCTGATTTTTTAGGTTGTTTTGACTGTAAGAAAGTAATTGATGAAGAAAAAATCATATGGTGGTGCACTTCTTTTTTTGCTACGGCCATTTGAAAGTACCCCATTTTTAATGATTTTCCCATTTTTCATCAATTTTTATCCATTTTTGGGCTTTCATCTTGAAAAAAATTACATTCATACTTTGACTAAAGATGAAGTGGACCAATCTGAAAAACTTTAACTTAAAAAAATTAAAGGTTTTTATACGACCGCAAAAAAATTTTGCAGTGGTATATTGGTATGAAGTTGGCGTCGTCGTCTTCGTCGTCGTCCGAAGACACATTGGTTTTCGCACTCTAACTTTAGTTAAAAGTGAATGGATCTCTATGAAATTTTACCATAAGGTTCAATACCACAAAAGGAAGGTTGGGATTGATTTTGGGGGTTATGGTACCAACAGTTAAGGAATTAGGGGCCAAAAATAAGCATTTTTGTAACTTCCAGACATAACTTGTGTGTTAGTGTATGGATCTCTCTCTGACATTATACCACAAGTTTCCATATCACAAAGGGAATGCTGGGATTGATTTTGGGGGTAATTGCCTCAAAATTTTAGGAATTAAGGGCCAAAAAAGGGGCAAAAAACAAGCATTTTTCTAGTTTCATGATAATAACTTGTGTGTAAGTGTATGGATCTTTCTGAAATTGTACTACAAGGTTCCATATCACAAAGGGAAAGCTGGGTTTGAGTTTGGGTGTAATTGCCTAAAACGTTTAGGAATAAGGGGCCAAAAATAAGCATTCTTCTAGTTTCCAGACAATAACTTGTGTTCAAGTGTATGGATCTCTCTGAAATTGTACTGCAAGGTACCATACCACAAAGGGAAGGTTGGGATTGAGTTTGGGGGTGATGAATCATAAGGGGGTTCAAAAAATTTGGGGGAGGGATTTTTTTTTCCTTTTTTTCCTTTTTTTTCTTTAAAATTTTCCATTTTAAATTGGTTATTTCTGAATTATATATAAAAGCAAATAATAATGATATGGTTTGAATAGGTAAATTAAATTTTTTTAAGTTCTTAGACCACATTCATTCTGTGTCAGAAACCTATGCTGTGTCAAATATTTAATCACAATCCAAATTGAGTGCTGTATCAAGGGGACTATCAAGCTTGAATGTTGTGTCCATACTTGCCCCAACTGTTCAGGGTTCGACCTCTGCGGTCGTATCAAGCTGTGCCCAGTGGAGCATTTTATTGTTAATATTAGAAAGTTTTATAAAATCGTGTCAAATTGACCATGCTGTCAATTTTGTAAATTTGGGATTTTTCTTTTTTTTTTAGAACAAAAAGCATAGTATTTTAACTTCTTTGTTATAAATGATTGGAAATATACATATCTAAGAATTTTGAAAAGACAAAATTGATATGGGATGTACATATTTTTGGTAAAATCATTTCTTTTGTACCCCTCACCCATTTTCTCAACATTTTGGCTGATGACACGGAAAAACTTCTTATTGTGAGTACACAATTTAGTTTAGTTTGATTATAATATTTTTTAAATTCTTTTATATTTTTCACTTGTATCACATGTTTTCGAAATAATTCCTGAACAAATTTCAACGAGACTGAAACATCAGAAGAATACATTCTTAAGATATGACATACAACAACAACTGACGAGGCTCTGACTTTGGACAGACAAACGATAATATGGCAGGTTTAAACTACTTTTTGAGATCTTAGCTCCCTACCTTTTAAATCTTTATCAAATAAATTACCAAAACACACACAAAATACATAAAATAAAAATCTGTACAGGAAAGGAATAGAACCTTCAAATAAAGGTATAATAGTAGGTTTCAGCAGTCCTTACCAATGAAGTGGCCATATTAAAATATCCATACAGAATACTTATTTTAAATGCTATGTTTTTAGACATTTAGAAATCAAAGTGTTTTCTTCTTATTTTAGGGTCTTGACAAGAACGAAGAAAAAAGTTTCATCATGACTTCAATTCAAACAAAATTAAAACTTCATCAGGTAAGATTGCTTATTTACTAGTCGCCTGTGTGTACTGTTTACGTCTATCAGTTTAAAGCTCAAACCACAGGCATCCTGTGGATCTAACCCATTAAGATTGCTAAATTACAACAAGTGTCTTGTGATAACAACAGGTAAAATTGCCAAAATTACAGCAAGTGTCTTTTGGTTACAACAGGTAAAATTGCCAAATTACAGCAAGTGTCTTGTGGTCTCAACAGGTAAGATTGCTAAATTACACCAAGAGTATTTTGGTCTAAGGAGATAAGACTGTCAAATTACAGCAGGTGTCATGTGGTCCAATCATGTAAGGTTGCCAAAGTTACAGCAAGTGTCATGTGGTATGAGCAGATAAGATTACCAAATTATAGCAAGTTTCGTGTGGTCTAAGCAGGTAAGATTGCCAAATTCGTTCATGTATCATGTGGTCTAAGCAGGTAAAAATTCCAAATTACAGCAAGTGTCATGTGGTCTAAGCAGGTAAGATTTTTAATTACAGCCTTTACAGGATGTATAGATACTTGAGAAGCTACATGACTAAAAAGGGACCTAAAAAAACTTTGCCTGAGGGTGTTGGAACCTTAGTTTCTTAATAATTTCTTAATAAGTCCACAGAAAGTTTATGAAATTTATGTTATTCTGCATACTGGCATATCATGTCAGTGCCAAAGCTCTGACTTTCAGACTAATGATATCCTCAATAATTTCCACAGAAAAATGACATGATTTTTAGGCCAAATAAGACCTTTATTACAGCTCCTCTCCAGAGCAGCGACTCTTTTTACAAAAAATCTTATGATTAAAATTGATCGTAAGTTATATTGAAATGTGTAGAACTTACAAGTATTTTTACTCTTAAGATTTTTTGTGAAAAGAGCCGCAGGTCTCTTTTTAGTCACATCTGGTATAATTACGGAATTGAAAGTGTCTTGTATTACATAAGTAAGGGAAGATTGCTTTTAGGATTTACTCATGTACAAGATACAGACAAGAGGCTGTCAGAGAGACAGCAAACTGGATTTTTCTGCAAAGGTCGAACCCTGAACAGTTGAGCAAGTATGGACACTACATTTAAACTTAAAACAGCTCTGAATTTGGATTGTGATTGAATATTTGATACATCATAGGTTTGTGACACAAAATGAATGTAGTCAAAGAAAGAACTGATATATTTGAAATTGGACATTTAAATACCTATTATGGTCAAATATCCAAAATCTAAGTACATATTAGAATCAGCATATCAAAGAACCCCAAAAATTCAATTTTTGATGAAATCAGACAAAAGTTTAATCTGGGACCCTTTGGACCTCAATGTGGACCAATTTGATAAAGGAGCTTACAATCCAAAATCTCTCAATACATGGTTAGATTCAGCATTTCAAAGAACCCCATAAATTCAATTTTTGTTGAATCAAACAAAGTTTAATTTTGGACCCTGATTTGGACCAACTTGAAAACTTGGCCTAAAAATCTAATATTTAAATAGAGTTTAGATTCGGCATTTGAAAGAACCCTATATATATATTTAATTTATGTTGAAATGAAACACAGGTTAATTTTATCCATAATATTTTCTGTGCAAATGGAAATAACTCAAACTGGATAAATAGTTCTCTAAAATAAGATATGATGCAATTTTTCAAATTATAATCAATAATATAATAACAACAACCAGTGATGACTAAGTTCTCTAAAATTAGATATGATTTAACACTCAAACATTGTTAGAATCAGCATATCAAAGAACCAAAGAATTCAATTTTTGATGAAATTAAACATAAGTTTAATTTAGGACCCTTTTGACCTCAAGGTGGTATTATCTTATTAATAATGAAAAGCTTTTTTTTTTTTTTTTTAATTTTTATGAATTATTTAGTTTATTCAGTATTAAAAGTAATAACATAATAATAAAATGTATACATATCGTTGTTATAAATTTGACATGTAAGCCATGCCCTGATTCCTGCAGACAATTAACGAAACAATTTTATTTTTGCAAACATGACACAAAGTGCTAGTGAGAAATAATGCCTTTCATTTGTGTCTATTTTCCGTCGTTTGTCTTTCGTTAACTTAATTTTTACATGTTCATTATCTCATATGAAGCTACAATGCCAAATTCAAAAATCTATCGATAATAGTACTTCAATATCCAAACTCATTCTCAGCTTAAACTAACTGCAAATCATAAGCAATTTTTCTAACAAGTTAAATTAGCAAATTAATTAATTTTTCTTTTTTTTTTTTTTAATTTTGGAGAATTTGGAGTTGAAAAATGATTTTGATATAGTTTCTGTTTCATTTATTTAAAACTTGTATAGACTCTTGATGATTTAGAGCTTGACATTTTGTTAAGAAATCTGTTTGTTGTTCTAGATGTCGTTTGTTTATTTTTGTCGTTTGGTTGCTGTCTCATTGGCTCTCCTTTCATTCATTCCAAAACCTTCATTGAACATAATATTGGAGAAATGCTCGATCGAAGCAGAATCAGACTTTATTTTTATTGGAGAGTGGTCATTCTGGACTTTGGGCATACTAGGTGGACAATAGAGGATCTAAGTAACCAAATATATGGTCAATAAGAAAAAAAGATTTGATAATACCTTGTATATATATATCTGTTTGCGATCTAGAACGACTGTAAATTGTAATGCAAATACGTTATGTTTTATATAACAAATATGTTTAAGGGAAGCACACTATATTCTGACACAAAAAGAATACACCACATATATTTCCGAGTTAAACCACTTCTTTTAAGTACTAGAATGGGAATTTTAAAATTTTGGAATGTTACGCTTAAAAAAGAGATTGAAATTTAAATCTTATATGTTCTTATTATGACAAGTGAAACTTTTTTTTTTTTTTTTTTTTTTTCATCTAAAAATATCTTTATTGCACTTTTCTTTGCTGTATTGACAAATTACTCGACCTACAGCAGTTGGCCGAGTATCCCTGTGAATTAGTCACTAAATAACCAGGGAAATTATCCAGTGAATTCATATTTATAGATAGTTAGTTAGTTTTACAACTCATACTTAATACAAACATTTTTGGAAAATACATGATCGCATGATTACGGAAAATGTACAGTTTTGTCCGGTTTTGTTTCTAAGTATTAGAACTTTATGATCATTGACCTTAACCTTTTGTAAAGAACCGTTAATCAGTTGTCCTGATGAATTCATGCGTCTTATTGATTGTTCTCGCAAACAGCTTAAACTTCAATTAAATATTGGAAGTGGTAAGTCTTGGAGTCGTAAGTTAGTTTCAATATTCTGATTGAGCTGTCATGTAATAAATTATGCGCATATGAGTTTGGAGACAACTACTGTACTTTCGTTTTCAGTAAGCATGCTGTTTTAATTTCTTACCACGTGTTCAGATCTATTTAATGCATACATGATGAGATTTTACACAAGTTTTCGTATATCTGAAAATAGTAGATTTCTAGCTATTCATGATCATATGTATCTTTTTATATCATTTAAAAATTTACTGTTTTTAGCATTAATGAATTTGTTAATTTCGTATGTATTCAAAAATTCATTTCTGAAAGCTGCATAAGCATCTATACCTTTTTGTTTATAATTTGATATATGAGTACTTTTATGAATTGAATAGATTAAGATAGTTAAGAAAAGATTTATATCATGATACATAGGATCATGTATTTTATAGCCCAAAACTAAAGTTTTTATATTAAATATATGTGACCCTATCTTTGTTTTGCTTACAAGCGCATATACTTCATTACAAAATTCATGAAAGTATTGACATTTGAGAAAAAAGTGTTTGTAGTCTTCAGTCAAATTACACAGGACACACATACTTGTATCTTCTATGTTCCATTGTTGTAGTAATTGTTTACATTGGCGGATGTAATGGAGCAATTTCCATCTTAACATTTTATATTTGTTATTTATTAAATAAGAAAAAGTATATTGAAGCATGTTACTTATTGGGTGATTGATTCTAGCTTGAAGATGTTTTTCCATTTAAAGAATCCTATAGGTCTCTCGTCATTCTTGATATTGTAATGGTTGTATATTTCTTTAGATAACATATTTTCAATTAGTTTAGTTGTTCTGTTAACAGTCAATGACAAGTTTAAATTTGTTTTTACCGAAGTTTTCATGGATATATCAGATTTTAATGTATTTAGCCATTGTTTTGGAATTGAATTTTTCAATTTTGAAAGTTCTGAGATCCAATTAGGTTTAGAGGTTAATTTCTCCAATATAATTTTTTGTGAAATATGCCATTTATAATCAATAATATCATTGATGTAAATAATACCATCTTTTATCCAATAATGAAAAGCTCGACCGTTTACAAGTTCTTAAACAGGAAGGGGATGGGGGTGACCCAAGGGGACTCGCCTTATATTTCATTTGATTTGTTTTATTGTCCCATACAAGAATATATATGGATTCGGGGTGGGGATCTTGACCATTTACAAGTTTTCAAAAAGAAGGGGGGGTTACCCCAGGGGACTTTCCCTCAATTTCATTTGATTTGTTTTATTGTCCCATTTAAGAATATATATGGTTTAGGGGTGGGGATCTCGACCATTTACAAGTTATCAAAAAGAAGGGGGTGGGGGTTACCCCCATGGACTTTCCCTATATTTCATTTGATTTGTTTTATTGTCCCATACAAGAATATATATGGATTAGGGGTGGGGATCTCGACCGTTTACAAGTTCTCAAACAGGAGGGGGTGGGGTGACCCCAGGGGACTCGCCTTTTATTTCATTTGATTTGTTTTATTGTCCCATACAAGAATATATATGGTTTTGGGGTGGGGATCTTGACCGTTTACAAGTTTTCAAAAAGACGGGGGGGTTACCCCAGGGGACTTTCCCTCAATTTCATTTGATTTGTTTTATTGTCCCATTCAAGAATATATATGGTTTAGGGGTGGGGATCTCGACCATTTACAAGTTTTCAAAAAAAAGGGGGATGGGGTGACCCCCCTGGACTTCTCCTATATTTCATTTGATTTGTTTTATTGTCCCATACAAGAATATATATGGTTTCGGGGTGGGGATCTTGACCATTTACAAGTTTTCAAAAAGAAGGGGGTGGGGGTGACCCCAGGGGGCTTCCCCTCAATTTCATTTGATTTGTTTTATTGTCCAATTCAAGAATATATATGGTTTATGGGTGTGGATCTCGACCATTTACAAGTTATCAAAAGGAAGGGGGGTGGGAGTTACCCCCATGGACTTCTCCTATATTTCATTTGATTTGTTTTATTGTCCCATTCAAGAATATATATGGTTTCAGGATGGGGATCTTGACTGTTTCAAATTTTCAAAAAAAAGGGGATGGGGTGACCCCCCCCTGGACTTCCCCTATAATTCATTTGATTTGTTTTATTGTCCCATACAAGAATATATATGGTTAAGGGGATAGGATCTTGACTGTTTACAAGTTCTCAAACAGGAGGGGGGTGGGGGTGACCTCAGGGGACTCGCCTTATATTTCATTTGATTTGTTTTATTGTCCCATACAAGAATATATATGGTATCAGGGTGGGGATCTTGACCGTTTACAAGTTTTCAAAAAAAAGGGGGTTGGGGGTTACCCCAGGGGACTTCCCCTCAATTTCATTTGATTTGTTTTATTGTCCAATTCAAGAATAAATATGGTTTAGGGGTGGGGATCTCGACCGTTTACAAGTTATCAAAAAGAAGGGGGGTGGGAGTTACCCCCATGGACTTCTCCTATATTTCATTTGATTTGTTTTATTGTCCCATACAAGAATATATATGGTTTCGGGGTGGGGATCTTGACCGTTTACAAGTTTTCAAAAAGAAGGGGGTAGGGGTGACCCCCATGGACTTCCCCTATATTTTCATTTGATTTGTGTTATTGTCCCATACAAGAATATATATGGTTTAGGGGTGGGGATCTTGACCATTTACAAGTTTTCAAAAAGAAGGGGGGTGGGGACTTCCCCTCAATTTCATTTGATTTTTTTTTATTGTCCCATTCAATAATATATATGGTTTAGGGGTGGGGATCGCGTCCATTTACAAGTTATCTAAAAGAAGGGGGTGGGGGTTACCCCCATGGACTTTCCCTATATTTCATTTGATTTGTTTTATTGACCCATACAAGAATATATATGGTTTAGGGGTTGGGATCTCGACCCTTTACAAGTTCTCAAACAGGATGGGGTGGAGGTGACCCCAGGGGACTCGCCTTATATTTCATTTGATTTGTTTTATTGTCCCATACAAGAATATATAAGGTTTCAGGGTGGGGATCTTGACCGTTTACAAGTTTTCAAAAAGAAGGGGGGTGGGGGTGGTCCCGGGGACTCCCCCAATATTTCATTTGATTTGTTTTATTGTCCCATACAAGAATATATATGGTTTAGGGGAGGGGATCTCGACCGTTTACAAGATAAAAGCACATTCTCAAATTGAAGGGGGGTGGGGGTAAGAATATATATGGTTTAGGGAGACTTAATTATCTACAAAATGTCTTATAATGAACAGTAAATTTCAAACTTCATTTATACAGTCCTACTAGTAAATTTCAAACTTTATATATAGTCCTACAGATCTTATCAGGAAACAAAAATTTTTCAAATAAATCTGTCACTCCAATGATTATCATATGCTAAGATATAACCCAGATCTACTTAATAATTAATAATGTAATAATCTTCAAAATGTCTAATAATATAGCTTATAATCATCACCACTTAGGAAATAGATAATTTTCAAATAAATCTGTCACTCCAATTTTTATTGTGAGATAAGACAAGTCATAAAATGATAACAAGAGTAAAATATTTAAAAATTCTACTTTTGGATATTAAAAATGGCGATAGCTCACAAAGGAGATATACTAAAATCTTGAAAATTGAACTAGACCTTCATTTAATCCCAGGAAACAACATATTTAAATTTGAAAAAAATCTGTTTAAGCGTTTTCATGTTATTGTGCTGACACTGTTTGGCAGCCGCCCGTAGATCCGCCCAGCCGCCCGCCGTACATCACCATTTTAATAACCGATATTTCCTTCGAAAATCGGGTTAAAAATGATATAAATATGACATCAATGGGAAAAAAATTTATATTAATACCTTGAGGTTGGGGGTAAAGGGTTCAATGCGTGGCTGTGCCAAATCAAACACTTATAAACTGGTATTCACTGCTTCTCTGCCAAGTGTTGTTTTTTTGTTGCAATTTTAGAATATGGTATTTAATATGTATTTAATATGTAATAGAAAAACAAAGGATATGGGGTATCCATCCATGACACAAAATCAGTACACGTGTAAACCTTTTATCTTGACTTTTTTTCATTGTCATTGGTTGTAAATTTTCTGTAGATAATTAACTGAGTCTCAATGTTTAATGATTTGTTCCAGGAATTACTGAAGGAACTTCAACAGCTGGAGGAGAAAAGTGTTAAAACTGGTACATCAGATGAGTGTAGGAGAACAATACTGGACATTTACACAAAGTTAAGACAGATTCATACTTTGATTTAATAAAATCATTTTTATATAGAATTTTTGGTTTATTTTGTAACCAGAGGAGAATGAATTTATCTGTGTTCTTAACTGATGTAAATCACAAGATATACTGTGACCTAATACTCTCTAATGTTATCTTTACTCAATTTTGTTGACTAAATGACAAAAATAAATGGAGAATGTGTCCATGGGACACAAATGATGCCCCCGCTTGCATATAACGTTATAAAGAGACATATTTCAAGAACAGTAATAGTGATGCTACCCAAATTCTTAGTTGATCTGAGTTTTGTGGTAATAAGCATTGTGTATAAGTTTAATAACATTTGGTTGATACAAACTTAAGTTAGAGAACAGAAACGAAAAATTCAGCAATTTTTCCATTTGGAAAGGGGCATAACTCTAGAATGGTAAAAGTGATGCCACCAAAATTCTTACTTGATCTGTGTTTTGTGGTAATAAGCATTGTGTTTAAGTTTCATTACATTTGGTTGAGGCAAACTTAAGTTAGAGGACGGAAACAGAAAATTCAGCAATTTTTCCATTAGTAAAGGGGCATAACTCAAGAAAGGTGAAAGTGACGCCACCCAAATTTTAACTTGATCTGTGTTTTGTGGTAATAAGCATTGTGTTTAAGTTTCATAATATTTGGTTGAGGCAAACCAAAGTTAGAGAACGAAAACCAATATCAGGACACACGGGCAGACAGACAGACAGACAAGGGTAAAACTTAATGCCCTACGGCGGGGGCATAAAGATCATACATATGAATATCATGCTAAAGATAAAAGAGCAAACAGGAGGTAGAATATTGAAGGAACTGAAAACAAGTCACACAGGGTGCCAGAGGAAGCTTGTCGCCATATATCAAGAAGCTATTACTTGTAGTTGAGCCAACCAGTCTTTGCTCTGACACCTGAATGCCATATGCTTTGCCAAGAAGCAGAAAACACCAATTTTCAAGTCTTTGGTTTCACCAGGCTATGGATTTATCCCACCACCTCCTGCACTCTAAGACAAGATGGCTACCACTAAATCCACTGAGGTGGTTTATACACATCAATAACACAGCAACCAATTTTGTTTGTTTACACATATATCTTTGATATTCTATAGCTATAAAGTTGTATTTGTGATTTTTCTCCACAAATGGCTGTAATCCTTAACTGTGTATTTTTGGTATCACTGAAGGTAATAATGATCTTTGTCAGAATATTGTTGTAGAAATTGTACACATCATACACTGTGGATTGATCATACTAATTGTCGTTGGGTAAAGGTTTACCAAGAATTTAAATGTTCACAGAAGTGTAAATTTATTATAGGCTTGTCGTTGGGTAAAGGTTTACCAAGAATCTAGATGTTCACAGAAGTGTAAATTTATTATAGGCTTTCATGCAGACTTTGGCTAAACCACTAAATCAAATATCTATGTAAACTGATGAATTCACAGGACACCAGAACTAAATTCAAGATGAAAAGTCAATATGTCTTAAACACTTCAACACATACTCAGCTCTTTCATTAAATTTAAAGGGCTCAATATAATTTTATTAAAAACATGCAGTGTTACAGTATGTGAAATTCTATTTTCTGAAACCATTTCACAAGTTAAAACATAATGTTTAGCACAAAGTTAATGCTTTGATTTTTGGGTTGCTGTCTAAGTGATTTCCACTTTCTGTCTTGTTTAATATGAAAAGCTCAATTTCATTCAAAATTGTTATGGAAACTACACATAAAATCATAAAAACACAGTCTCATTCATGTACAGTTTATTCCTAAAATCCAAGCAGTAAAAATAAGTGTAAAAACAAAATAAATTATGACATTATCAATGGAATGTGCGTAATACAACATATGCAAGTAATGATAAAACTACACTAAATTAGTACATCTGCTCAAAACAGAGAATGTCTCTTTGCCATTACATAATATTAAAAACATGTTTACCTAGTCAAAAAGGTTATAAAGTTCAGGAAAAGGCTTAGGATCAGTATTTATTATAAAGCAGATTTTTTTCCCAACTACCATACCTGCCAAGACATTTGCAACATAAAACTTTTATGAACATGAACTAAAAAACAACTATTTGCCATCTTAAGACTTCAAAAAACAAATTAGAATAGCCTTCCAAGGTGTCATAATTATTTGGACTAATGCTTAACATACCAAAGAAAAGTCAATACATTATACTCTCCTTTGTATAATTTAAAGAAACAAAAAGCTTTCTCCTTTTATAAAACTGGTCATACATTGCTTATGTTTTTGATACATGTACTACTGCCATAAACAAACAATAAATGAAATTGTTCTGCTAGATATGTTTTGATTTAAGGATGATTTATTATGTTATACAGGCAATTCAGCTTACCAATGTTTTGGCATTTAGTAGGCAAGATAAACATACATGTAATCAACAACTCAATAATAAAGCATCTGATCTATTTATTACCAGATTCAGTTTCTGACACGACTATCTACAAAATAGATTTTTTTGCAAGAGATTCAACATTTTGAGAATTGAAAAAAATATTTATATTAAAATAAGGAGATGTAGTATACTCGCCAATGAGACAACTTTCCACCACAGTTCAAATGAAGTGGATGTAAGCAATTATAGGCAACCGAATGGCCTTCAACTATGAGATAAACCCATCTATACCTGTACTTATATAGGATTACCTCCCTTTTCTTTATGGGTTCACATACATAATTTACTGTTAAAACTTATTGTCGTTATCCCTAGCATTTTTCAATTCAATCTCATGATGACATAGATGGGTATAACTTTTTGTCATATGTACATGATGTATGTATACTTAGTTTAAACAATATTTACTGGCATTTAGAACAAACAAAAAAGTTCAAAATAAAGAAAACGCACAAATATACATAGATGTATTAAGTCTTTTCACTTTTTTGCCACACTGTTTGTATTGATGTTTTACACTCTTGATGTCTCACTGTTAAATGTGTTCCACACTGCACTTTAATCAAGTGTAATTAAGTTTCTTTATAGTAGATGAGATTTTTCCTAACTAAAGGTAGATAACTCTATTTGTATTTAATTTATAACTTGAGTACTGTGATATTCTGTTGCGACAAAATAGAAAAGTTTAATGTTAAATCATTGAAATAGCCATGCTAGTTATTGTAGATGTACTTTTTACAGGATAAGTAAAACCTTAACTTCTTATTTCACATCTTAAAAAACATACTTTCTGAAGAGCATGGCATAGGAAATGCTCACTTTTTTTAACTCCAAATGATGCTTGGAGTCCTATTGGAAGAATGATTGAATAATTGACAAAACATTACAACAATCAGACTTAATGTAACATGACACCATTCCTGTTTGAGACTGTTAGGATAGAGCTATAATCCCAATGATAATTTAGATTTAGTTTTGTCAAATGCCGGTAGCTTTTCACTAATGACCACTAAGTGTAAGTATACATACAGATTAATATATGGCCTTTTCCATATCAGCCCTGGTATCATCCTGAGACCCCCATATTAATCTATTTATCATGTACTACCAATGAACAAACACACAGAGGCTGATAACCCCATATCAGCCGGACCATGTGACGTCACATAGGGATGATATCAGCCTAGGTATGAATTTATGGCTTGTTTACTATCTCTGGTTACACATATACAAAAAATATCATATCAATGCCAAGTATATGATAAATATATTTACAAATGCATAATAATCTTATGACAGATAATCAGAAATGCACCAGAACGTACCTTAAACTAACTCAAAAGCAACAATTAAGAACAAGTCATAATGGGTTATCCATAAATAAGAGCATACATATATATAAACATAAATACAATGTTTTGAGTAAAATTAAATAAACAGCATAAACTAATACATATGATAAGACTAGAATATATTGCCGTGCAGAGCTTGGTAAATTTGATTTTTAAAAATAAAACATGAGTACTATATGATGGTATGAATACACCAATGACAACTTTATACAACAAATTAAGGCAGATGGATGTATCACAGTATCTAACAATTGTAATTTGTTAAATCTCAGGCTAATAATATCAACTAGTCAACTCTTTATATTCAACTTTTTATAAAGGCATTTAAAAATCTGGAGGCTCCTTTGAACACAAATAACCCATCTGGCAAAACTATCCCTTTGTAGTTGAAGACTGTTTTATGCGAAGCTAGAGGATCTGTGAGTAAGCCATTGAATATATATTACTTCCTTAACTACATTTAAACTGGAAAATGGTCTCAACCGATTTTTTAAGTTCCTTCGATCTTTAAATTTTGTGCAATGTTACCCAGTTTTGGCTCCTTTAAGCCATATTGGATTTTCGACTGTTACATCTCGTAGCAAGAACCTTTTGAAGAACTTTCTATCTAAATTCATCTACCGGGGTAATTACAACTTTTCTTCAAAATAAAATCTGATTTTGTTTAAGGTTTCAAAGTAAACTTCAATTCTGCTGAGCATGAGGGTACCACCATATCTATCACTTCAAGTCTGATGCCCATTGGTTAACTAGTTCTTTAACCAAATTGGCCCTTTTCATGAGCTACATTTGACTTTTCAAATGAACACAAATCAAAAATATGTATTATAATAGTTTGTATCTACTAAAGAATATTCCTGGATGATTTTTCCTCCTTGATTCTTTTTAAATATATTTAAAGTTTTATTTATGGATTATCAATTATCTTCAAACTTTTGGTCCACTTACTCCCTACCCATCACTATACAGACTTTATATTTAATAATGTATTATGCAATGACCTAACTGATCATAAATTTTAGAACAAATTTAAATTGTCTGATTAATTTTGAAAATTGACATCCATGAACAAACAAGATAATTGTTTTACAGGGAAGTAAGGCTTTCAATGTGTTAATACCATCATTACCATAGGCCTGTTTGATAACATCAATAAATATACAACCTTTCAAAAATGATTATTTTGCATTTTTACATTTTCAGTCGGAATAACATATATATCATGTATATTTCCACTGAAAATAATCAATCATAAAAATTAAGTGT